GCCTGCCTCGTACAGCTTCCTGCCTCATTCCGCTCCCTGCCTGCCTCATACAGCTTACTGCCAAATACCCATCCCTGCTTCGTACCGCTCCCTGCCTGCCTCATGCTGCTTCCTGTCTCATCCTGCTGCCTGCCTGCCTCATACCGGTCCGTGCATCATACCTCTCCCTGTCATATACAGCTACCTGCCTCATTCCACTCCCTGCCTGCCAAAAACGGCTCTGTGCCAAATACTGTCCCTTTCCGCAAGTCCCTTTCAGCCTCATACTGCTCCCTGCCTGCCTCATACCTCTCCCTGCTAAATACTGCTTCAAGCCTTATACACGTCTCTGCTTTATACCGCTTTCTGCTTGCCTTACAACGCTCCCTGCCTGCCATATTACTCACTGCCACGTGCCACTCCATGCCTGCCTCATACTGCTCCCTGCCTCATTCCGCTCCCTTCCAAATACTGCCCCCTTCCTCAAGTTCCTTTCTGCCTCATATTGATCCATGCCTGCCTCCTTCGGCTCCTCATCAAATACTGCCCCTAGACTCATATGCCTCTATGCATCTTCCAATCCCTGCCTTATACTGCTCACTGCCAAATACTATTCCCAGCCTTACATGCCTCTCTGCCTCATTCCGCTCCCTGCCTGCCTCATACCATTCCCTGCCAAAAAGTGCTCCCAGCCTTATACGCATCTCTGATTCATACCGCTTCCTGCATGCCTCACACCACTCCCTGACTGCCTAATACCGCTCCCTGCCAAATACTGCTCCCTGCCTCATACCGCTCTCTGCCTGCCTCATATGGCTCCCTGCCTCATACGGCTCCCTACCTGCCTCACACCACTCGCTGCCAATTACCGTTTCCTGGAGCATACCGCTCCCTGCCTGCCTCATGCAGCTTCCTGCCTCATACCGCTCCCTGTCTGCCTCATACTGTTACTTGCCAAACACTGCTCCCTGCCTCTTACGTCTCTCTTCCTCATATCGCTCTCTGCCTCGTACCGCTCCCTGCCAAATACTGCTCCCTGCCTCATGCACCTTTCTGGCCCATAGCGCTCTCTGCCTGCCTCATTCGGCTCCCTGACAAATATGTCTCCCTGCCTCACACAGCTTCCTGCCAGCCTCACACCGTTCCCTATATCATACCACTCCCTGCCTCATACTGCTCCCTGCCAAATACTGCTCCCAGGCTTGTATCCTCCCTACCTGCCTCATACCGCTCCCTGACTCAGACCGCTCCCTGCCTCACACCGCTCCCTGCCTGCCACATACTTCTCCCTGCCTGCCTCATAGTGCTCCCTGTCTCATTCCGTTCCCTGCCAAATAATGCCCCTTCCTCAAACCACTTTCTGCCTCATACAGCTCCCTGCTGGCCTCATTCTGTTCCCTGCCAAATACTGTGCCTTTCGTCAAACCACTTTCTGCCTCATACAGCTCCCTGCTGGCCTCATTCCGTTCCCTGCCAAATACTGCCTGCTTCCTCAAACCCCTTTCTGCCAAATACTGCTCCCAGCCTCATACGCCTCTCTGCCTCATACCGCTCATTGCCTGCCTCATACAGATTCCTCCCTCATTCTGCTCCCTGCATGTTTCACACCGCTCCCTACCAAATACTGCATCCTGTTATACGCCTCCCTGCCTCATACCGCTCCCTGCCTCAGACCACTCCCTGCCTCATACCGCTCCCTGCCTCATACCGCTCCCTGCCTCAGACTACTCCCTGCCTCATACCGCTCCCTGCCTCAGACCGCTCCCTGACAAATATGGCTCCCTGCCTCGTACTCCTCACTGCCACATAGTGCTGCCTGCCTCATAGCACTTTCTGCCTGCCTCATAGCACTCTCTGCCTTACATTCCTTGCCAAATCATATTCCCTGCCTCATACCCCTTTCTGCCTCATTGCGCTCTCTGCCTCATACATCTCCCTGCCCCATACATCTCCCTGCCTCATACCTCTCCCTGCCTGCTTCATACCACTTGCTGCCTCATATGTCTCCCTGCAACATATCACTCCCTATGACATACTGCTCACTGCCTGCCTCATTCGGCTCGCTGTCAAATACTGCTCCCTGCCTCATACCCCTTTCTGCCTCATTGCGCTCTCTGCCTGCCTCATACCACTCACGGCCTCAGACAGCTCCCTGCCTCAGACAGCTCCCAGGCACATAACACTGCCTTCTCATACCGCTACCTCGCTGCCTCATTCCGCTCCCTGCCTGCCTCATACCACTCGCTGCCAAATATCGTTTCCTGCATCATACTGCTCCCTGCCTCATGTTGCTCCCTGCCTCCAACTGCTCCCTACCTCATAGCGCTACCCACTTCATACTGCTCCCTGCCTCATACCACTCCCTGCCTGCTTCATACCGCTCCCTGCAAAACACTGCTCCCTGCCTCATAAGCCTCCCTGCCTCGTATCACTCCCTGCCTTGTACCACTGTCTACCAAATAGTGCTTCCTGCCTCATACCGCTTTCAGCCACAGAACGCTCTCTGCCTGCCTCACATGGCTCCCTGCCTGCCTCACACCGTTCCCTGTAT